GTACGGACACTGCAGGTCACGCACGCCTTGGGTATGAGGCCAGTCCTTTGCAGGTTACGGACACTGCAGGTCACGCACGCCTTGGGTATGAGGCCAGTCCTTTGCAGGTTACGGACACTGCAGGTCACGCACGCCTTGGGTATGAGGCCAGTCCTTTGCAGGTTACGGACACTGCAGGTCACGCACGCCTTGGGTATGAGGCCAGTCCTTTGCAGGTTACGGACACTACAGGTTACGCACAGCCATTAAGGCTCCTAACTGTATGTCTGCAGGCCAACATAGGGAGAACATGCAAATACAGCATTAAAACCAGCATGCAAAGACACCATTAAAACCAGCATGCAAATGCACCATTAAAACTAGCATGCAAAGACACCATTAAAACCTACAACCCTTCAGGTGTGAGGCAAGACAGCTTCGCAGTGTGGCACCCCACCCAACCCCCCCACTTGCCCGCCACCCACAACTGCCTTGTATTTAAAATATAGCTCCATAAGACTGCAGCTGATTGTTCCCCATGCATGTTTAAGCTGCCTATAGGCAAGGTGAAATTCAAGCAGCTTAATCCAATCATAGGATATATGTTTCTGTTGGAGAGCAATGAAGGGATTCGATTGCAGGAGGGGCGTAACATCAGGGACAGGGACAGGTGTCATTCTGCCATTGCATTATGGCAGAAAATTGCTGTTAAAAGGAAAAAATATATAATTAAATGGATGATTTGCAAAACAAGATACTGGATACTCTTATTTAAATATTTATAATATACTAATATTTTTAAAAGAAGGTATTATGATTTGCCACCAATATTCCACATGTTACATGTATTGATTAAGAATGATATGCGTGACAGTTAATTCTTTTAATTTGCAAGGTTGTTATTTATTACCACAAAAATGAAGTAAGTTTGTATTTGATTAAGACCAGGGGTTATGAAAGACAGGATCAGAATTGCATGTCTATGGAATTCGCTTTGGTGAATCGTCACATTCAATGCACCTAAAATACTGGTGAGATGTTAGGACAGAAACACAGGCAGATTTTCAAGGTCTTATTCAGAGTCAGTGAGTTGCCTGGTCTTTGTTACCTAATAAGACTAAAACAATAGTAATAAATAAATGAATAAGACCCATTCATTTGAAGTCAACACTAATTATTCCTCAAATGGTGAGCTGCACTTAGCCATTACATACATAACATATCTGCATATGGACCACGGTTATTTTACTTGGTGATATTCTACCAGAATTTGGTAAAAAAAAAACAAAAAAAAAACAATCAGGCCAAAATCAGGATTTTTTTTTCAATAATTCAATCTTATTTAGCAAAGAAATGAAATGCCGAAACAATGTTGATCAGAGGATCAGCTCCAGGTTGATGATGTCATTGTATGAAGTCATGTTCTGTACACATCCGAAGGGCTATAATAACTCTGATTACTCGCTGGTTTAAAAATGCATCTAAGCCCTTCAGAAATTGCTCCTGAAGGCATAAAGGCAACACAAGTCTGATGAAGTTTCGGTTTCAAACTATTGAGTCATTCTGAAATGCACTATGAACTTAATTAAAATCTTAATATGAACTTTGCTCCAAAATCACAGACACCTTCTCACACAGAGTAAGTGGTAAATAAGTGATTAGGGGCTGGCATTTTAGTCTATCGCCTATTGGAATAAGATTTTGCTTAAAGAATTTGGACAGATGGATGGATATGTAAGGCACTCCCTGTCTGCCTCCCCGGTACAGAAATACCAACAAAATAAGGAAAAAATACAAATTCTGAGCAACAGATGCAGTAAGAGCAAATAAATGTAAATGATGCTCTCAAGACTTCAGATTTATCTTATAGGTACAGTTTCCTAATTGAGTCTCTTGATGAAAATTTGCCAGCAAAACTCCCAAGAGCTAAACATGGCTTCCTGCTTCTGCTGCCATGACAGGATTCCTAACACCAAGGAAAGAGGAACAGCAAGCAGTAATTTTCATATGTTGATTCTCAGAAGTATGAAGATATGACGACTCCGTATGAGCAGCACATAAAGCACATGACAATGGAGGGTTCTGTTTCCCGGGAAGGCG